ATGCCTGCGGCCAGCTCGGGGTCCCCCAGCGCAGAACAGGCAGGGCCCTGCTGGGGTGGGGCCAGAGGAGGCCACGGGAATTGTCCGAGGGCTGAAGCCCCTCTGCTACAAGGCCAGGCTGGGAGAGTTGGGGTTGTTCAGCCTGGAGAAGAGGAGGCTTTGGGCAGACCTGATTGCAGCCATTCAGTGCCTAAAGGGGGCTGATAAAAAAGATGGGGACAGAGTTTTTAGCAGGGCTGGTTGCGATAGGATGAGGGGTGATGGTTTTAAACTGGCAGAGGGTGGGTTTAGGCTGGACTTAAGGAAGAAATGCTTTATGACGAGGGCGGTGAGGCACTAGCACAGGTTGCCCAGAGCAGCTGCGGGTGCCCCATCCCTGGAAACGTTCGAGGCCAAGCTGGACGAGGCTCTGCGCAGCCCAAGCTGGCAGAGGTGTCCCTGTCCCTGGCAGGGAGCTCAGCAGTCGTGCACGGTGGCTTGCAGCTGCGGGCTGTGGGCGCTGAGACTCTGTGCAGAGGAGCATGCTGGCATGCTCCCACAGCCCGGAGGGGCTTATTTTTATTTTCCTTGTATGTCCTAGGGAGCCAAGAGCTGCATCCGTTGCCTCTGCCTCCCTACCCACTGGGACAGAAGCTTTCTCCAGGGCAAGCCCCCGCTGACGAAGGCTCTTTAAGGACAGGAGGACTGCCGTTGGCTGTGCTGTCCCTGGCGGTAGACGAACACGGGACAGATCCATCCTCTCCAAGATGCCAACAGCTCACACGGAGCCCTTGTGTGTTGTCCCCCAGGCTACAGGGGGAAAGACTCTGGGTTAAAATGCCTGGGGGAAAAAATGGGGATTTCATTTTATAACTGTAGTTGTAGGTAACGTAAGATGTCCTTTCGGTGGGTTGGGGAGGGAGCAGGTAAGCAGAGGGTGCGGTGGATGGATACAGGCACCAGTGCTGGATGCAGCACAAAATGAGCAGCCAAAGGGCATTATATTGTGCAAGCCAAGAAAAAGCTGTCCCAGTTCCTGGGAAATTAGGCGGCCTCATTTGTCAGATACTCGGGCTGTTGGGCAGCCTTTGAGCACTTGGCCAAGGAGCAGGTGAGTCCATGGGCATCCCCTAAGGTGTCCTGCAGCCGATCTCCTCGCCGTCAGCGGGCAGGGTGCAAGGACAAACCTCACCTCACCATGGGCTGCAATTAACTTTGCTCAGCAGCCTGGATGAGACTAATGAGCTTCCCAGCCTTGATCGGTGTCAGCTCGTTGCCCTGATTGCACTGCTCAGGAATTCCTCTTTCTGTCAGTAATGTCTTGGCCAAGCAGTTCTGATTCCAGAGCTGCTTTTACAATACAAATGCATGGCAGGGTTTGGGTTTTTTTTTTTCCTTTTCCTCTGCTATTTTTAGCTTCTTTTTAACTGGCATGATAGGCACTGGACATCAGCCTCGAGCATCAGATTGCTCAGTGCTGGCTCCATGGCCATGGTTTCATCCCCGGTTGGCACAGGGTGCTCATCCCCCCGTGCCCAGGCATGGCAGTGGTGGTGCACGCGTTTGGGCTGTGGCTGGGTGCCAGGGAGGGCTGGGAGAGGTGGGATCGCCCACCAGAGCCTCTCTGCATGGGGACCTCACTTGGCAGACCCTTGGCAGATCATGTTGCCATGGTTCAGAGCTTTCCCGGGGGTGCCTGCCTTGTCCTGGGTGGATTTTGGCCACACAGATGTGCCCCTTGCCCTACTACGAACCTCTTTCCCATCTGAAGCCTCAATAAAGTAGCTGAAATGCTGGGGACAGATGGGGACAGTGGCAGCACAGTGGCATCCCACCACATTGCTCCTGCGCCCTCCGTGCTGGGTTAGGGATGTGTTCGAGCTGTCAGTCCAGGCTTAGGACATGGGTCTCCTCCTCCAGGACCAGCCCTGGCCACGCCAGTGCCGGTGCCTGAGCTGGGCAGTGGGGCCGAGGCATCAGCTGATGCCGGCAGCAAGGTTTCTGCTTGCTTGTTCTCTCTCACTGTCACACTTGTTCCCAAATACAATTATTTTGTCTCACTGAGCTCAATAGGAATTAAAAAAAATCCTTGTGAATCAGCCTTGGAGGGGGTGGGGGAGGGAGGGACAGCAAACCACAGGCCGAGAAGTGACACGAGGATGGGTGATGTTTAAGGGTTCTGCCTGATGACGTCATCTCACAGGAGCCATGAAAGGCCTGGGCGGCGATGCCGGGAGCAGGGACATGTGACTCAGCCCGGCCGGCTGCCTTTGTGTTGCTCTGCCTCATCCCACTGGCCTCGCACCTTCCCCACCAGCTTTCCTGGGCAAGTGGCTCCCAGCCTTGGGGCATCAGGCATCTCCACGTGCTAGGGATCATAGAATTGCTTAAAGAGCTCCTCAAGCCCAACTGTTGCCCTAACCCTGCCATCCCACCACTAAATGCTTGGAGGTCCCTGCTTCGACTTCCCTGCAGGCGCACAGGGCTCTCTGGCTGCTTTCACTGACCACAGGGGCTGTTGCTGGATGTGATTTCCCAGTTTCACGCTTGGTTGTAGAATTGAGGCTCCTGCCCAAGCAGAAATCTTTAACCAGGCTGCTTGCCTCTTGAAAACCCTTGTGCTCTTGGGTGGCAAAGCCCCCTCTGCTCTGCACAGGGAATGCAAATGCGTCAGCAAAGGGAAGGCAGGAGCCGGTGGCATCCTTGTCTCCTGGTGGAAGTGGTGTGGAGAGGCCTTGTACGCCACGGTTGCTGGCAAGGTGGCTGCTGCTGCATTACATCGAAGACCAAGCCATGTGCAGCAAGCAGCTGGGGCTCGGGATTTTGTTGCACTTTGTGCAGATGACAGGTGGGAGATGGAACAGGGATGGATAGTGTGGGCGTTGGAGGAAGCCCCGTCACTCCAGAGGGCTGGCTCGAGACATGTTGGCTGGGTTTCTCTTCCCCTTCCCTGGGCTGCCCCTTCCCGGGCAAAGCTGGAGACGGGACCTCAAGTTTTCTCCTTCGATCTGGCGCCTGGGAGCGGGAGGACTGGGCTCCCTCGGTTCCTGGCTTCCCAGTAGTTCAGAGAATACGGAAGGGGCTAAAACCCACCTCTGCTGCCTGTATGGTCTCCTCTCCTTGGCCTGAAAGGGGGCTTGCCCGTGTTGTGCTGCTGGAAGAAGGGAGAGCTCGTGGGTGCTCGCTGTTCCCAGCCCATCTGGTGTCCTCGTGCACGGGGTGGCGGTGGGGAGGGAAGGACCCGCGTGAAGCTGCATGGCCCCGGCCAGCTTACAGCCCACCGCTGCCAATGTGTTTGATTCCCTGGGGCACAGCAGGGGGCTATCCTGGGAGCACAGCCTTTACTTGAATCCTTCCTTGGCAATTAAGACAGACAAGCAACCAACTTCAAAACCCACTGCAATAGCTGGCGTACATATAGCAAACTCACCCCATTTCCACTCAGTCCCTCCAGAACCTGCCGCCCATGCTGAATGACCTTCTTGGGGACTAATCTATGTGTTTGCTTTTTTTTTTTTTTGCTTTTTGGTGTCTTTGGGGCTTTTTTCTGCTCTGCTGCACTTATTCTTGGATCTGCCACTCTGGCAGAGATCCTGCCATCCTGCAGCCCAGCTCTGACTGGGGAGGCTGACCCTGGGGCT